CCCCAAAACCCAGTTCTAATTATTAAGGCCCCTACATTAACCCTTCGCATCAAAATAGCCCAAAGGCCTTTTATAATAGGGTCTTTGGGCCCAAAAGCCTTAACATATGAGTTTTTTGAGGGTAAGGGTAAGGCAGGCCCTAAGCCGTAAACCCTAAACCCCTAAACCCTAAACCCCTAAACCCTGAACCCTAAACCCCTATAAACCCTAAACCCTGAACCCTGAACCCTAAACCCAACAAGCTCCAATGAGTCCTATCCTTGGCCTCTGTCTCTTCGCCGAATCACGAGACCGGACGCCCTGAGAGCTCCTAAAGCTCACCTTTTAGTGGTTTATGGGGGATACTTTCCCAAATCCCTAAACCCTAAACCCCAAACCCCAAATTAAGGATTCCTAATATAGAAACCCTACATTCTACTATACAGGTACTTTGGAAATTTTGGGGACTTCTACACCTGCCAGGATTCCGTCAGAACCCAGGCTGTTTGGGTCTGACCTTCCGAGAGGGGACTTCAGAGTGTTGACCATTTAGGGTGTAGGGTTTAGGGTTTAGGGTTTAGGGTTTAGGGTTTAGGGTTTAGGGTTTAGGGTTTAGGGTGGTCGCGACAATTGCATCGACGCCATCGTCGAGGTCTACAAGAACTGGAAACCTCAGAGCTTTGTTGGGTTGTGCGATTATGGCCGAAACGTCGATGATGTCGATGATCGAACATGGGTCGATAGTGTAAGGTTTAGGGGTTTAGGGTTTGGTTTAAGGTTTAGGGTTTGGTGGCGCCTCTCGCGGCGTATGGGTTTAAGGTCGTTCAATGCCCCCGATCAGGGTCCATGTATGCAGTTACTACATACCTGACCCCGAAGCACCTACATTAGGAACTACTTTCACGCCAAAGTATCTACGATTTGAGTACATGGACCTTCAGGGTGCAAGGATTACGCGTGTTTAGGTTTGAGGGTTTTGGGGTTTAGGGAGCAGGCGGTGTGGGAATCAGTGGAGTTTAGAGCTTTCGGTTTGCGCTAGGCTGCAGCTTCCTGGGCAAACTCATCCGTGCAGCATGCCCGGAAAGTCGCATATACCAACCCTTTCAACCCTCAACCCTAAACGGGTTTAGGGTTTAGGGTTTACGGCCCAAGAACCCCAAGAACCCTAAACCCCAAACCCAAACCCTACACCCCGAACGCATGAGCTCTGAAGCGCTGCGTGTTTCAGCCCCCCCCAAGCCTGCGAAAACCAAAGATGAGGGCCTGAGCTGTTGGGTTTTAGGGTTTTAGGGTTTAGGGTGTAGAGTTTAGGGTTTAGGGTTTCTTTAGAGTTTAGGGAGGGTTTAGGGTTTCTTTAGAATTTAGGGGTTTAAGTAGTATCACATCGTAGTCTTCATATAAGTTCTTTACGATGTTACTTTCAAATACTTGCGACAAATCCGGTTTCTGTAGAGAACCTGCTTTCGCATCCTTTGAAACCTTTAGACCTAAATCCTGTGAGAATCCCCTAGAGGAACCCCTATCATTGAACCCTTCGTCCGGCCCGACTATGGAACCCAAGCCGCTTGCCCTGGGAGGATCCTAGCCAGGATGCGAAGGCTTTGCTCTTAGACCCGGGTTTGCACGCTTTACACAACTAAACTCTATACCCAAGACTCCCTACGCCCTAAACCCTAAGCCCTAAGCCCTAAGCTGTGAACCCTAAGCCCGAAGTCCTAAACCCTCAACCCTAAGCTCCCCAACCGGTCCATGTATCCAAACACTAGGTACTTTGGCTTCAAAGTAGGCCCCTTTAGGTACCGAACCTTATGGGTTTAGGGCTTATCCTAGGTAGTATTAGGGGTTTAGGGTTTAGGG